ATCTTCTTTGGTCCGACCTCGATTGTGGCAACCATCATGCCTTCAGGCTTAGTCGGCTGCCCTGTAAAACTTGTCATTTCGAATTCCACAGGAGACAGATCATGAATTCCTTTCCCTAGCTTCTTGAGAGTCTTCAATGGCATAACATTAAAGACTGCTCCATTATCCACGAAAACCTTTGTGATTGGTTTCCCACAAACGTGAGCATTAACATACAGAGGTTTCAAATGGGAGATCGCACCCTCTGGAATAGGAGGAAACACAATCGAAGGTGCCTCCGGCTGAGGCTCGGAATCTGAAGTCTTTGCCCACTCTGTTTCCTCTAATTCGTCATCTGCCAAGAATGCCCATAAAGGTTCGTCCATAGTATCATCTACCAGACTCGCCCACATCGGTTCATCTCTAATCTGATTAATCTCTGTCATTCGACAAGGGATTCGTGGTCCCAGACGAGATTTAACAGATCTCAAATTTTCCTCTGTAGTTACAACTTCTTCCTTTGTCTTATTCCGAGATTGAACCGTCAAAGATTCTATACGGAATTCTTCAAGAGATGGATTGATGTTGATCCGTTCACAATGTTGGCATCGAAAACCTCTAATTATTTCATCTGCCATTCCTTTACCTTTCCCCTGTCCCGACGAACTTCTTTTGGTATAGTCGGAAGCGCCTAATCCGTCATTCGGTTGCTTTCCTGAACAGACCCGACTGGACCGACTTTTTGGAGATTGAATGGCTGCTCCCTGCTCGTTGGTCGTTTGTTCTGTAAAGACTCTAATGGACTGATCTCCTGCCAAGTGGTCGGCTGCTTTTTGTTCGTCGGTTAGTTGTTTTGCTGAAGGAACTCGTTTCCCATACTTTGCAGCATACCTGCGTTTGGCATTGCGAATCTGTGTACGATTCATACCTGGGAAACGAGGATCTATATCAACTGGTAAAGGCTTTTTATTTCGAGCCCAATCGTTCCCGACTGAACCTGTTTTTCTGGTCGGATGGTCACGCACTAAAACCTTTTCTTTCACCTCCACATTAAAAGAACCGTCTGGACGGTCCCATTTTTCAGCGACTGGCCTTTCAATAACTTTGAGTTGTTCTTCCGGTCGGCCACTGTTTGGCTGACTTCCTTTTTTTGTTCCGGGGCTTGCCTGAGTTCGTTCCCCTGTTTGTCCACTATTGGCCGAACTTTTCCCTGTTTCCGAACTTGGTTGGATGTCAACCATTGCCGTTGTTACTTTCGGAAACGGTTGCTGATCTACACCTAGAGTGATGTATTTGAGCCGACCTGTCTTGATGGCCTTTTGAATTTCCTTCCTGAAATGAGTACACTGACTTGTATTGTGTGTGAAAGAATTATGCCACTTACAATATGGTCTCCCTTTGATTTCTTCTTTAGTGGCCAATCTTTGCCCCTTTGGAATACGGATCTGCCCATCAGTCAGTAGGATATCAAAGATTTCATCAGCTTTCGAACTATCAAAAGTCGGTTGCTCCTTTCCTTCAGATCCTGGTACTGGCTTCAATTTAGGGCATACATAAGGTTTTCCAGAAAGGATTTCGGCTGCCATCTCTTCTGACTGATTAAAATCAAAGTCACATGTTTCTGTTCCCATACTCGCCATATGTTGGCCTCTATTACGCCTGTTATGCTGATCTTCCTCTCTGAACAAAGACTCTAAACGTCCTGCCTTGGATGCAAGACTTGCCAAATCCTCAACATCCAGGGCAGTGAGTGCCTTTCTTAAGCGAGTATGCATATTCCGGACCACTAAATTGGTCATCTCTTTCTCACTGATTACCGTAGGACATCGTCCCTTCATCAATCGCACCCTTTCTATAAACTGTGAAGCAGATTCTTCTGGATACTGTCTCAATTCTAGTAAATCAGTTAAAGAAACAGTTGGTAAAGGATTGAAGAATCTAGCATGAAATGCCATCTCCAGTCCTTCCCATGTCTGAATTTGTCCAGGAGGCAGACTTGCAAACCACGAAAATGCTGTTCTAGTAAGAGATAAACCAAACAGCTGCAACTTATAAAAAGGGTTATTGCCAACTTCTCCTAATTGTGCTGTGAACCGACCAACATGTTCTATGGTGGAAGATCCGTCCTCCCCTGAGAATGCATGAAAATCGGGTGGTCGATAATTCCTTGGGAGAGGGTGTTCATTAATGATCCTTTTTGGGAAAGGTCTCTGATATGTTGGGCGGTTAGCCATCTGAGGAGTTAATCCATACTGATCCCTTAATATATGTGCAATCTCATCAGGATCTACATGAAAGCGTTGATGATCAGGAACATGGAACGGATCCTGCACAGGAATATGAATAGGATCATGTATATATCCTTCAGGCCTGTCCTCCCTTGTATTGTTCGGCTGCGGATTGGTAACCCTTGGTCCCAGTGGAACAGTGTTGGGAAAAGTCAGAGGAGATTTTCCCCTATCCATTCGGTTGGGATTTGTGGCACTTGGGAATGTACTATCCACGAATGATGGCCCTGCGAAATTTGTCTGTAGTCTGGATGGTGATACTCCTGGTGGAGTTTGAGTAGGTTGAAGACTAACCCTTGAAAGTGCTTGATCTATCATGTTCTGCATCAGACTCTGTTGCTCACGCAACATGTTCGTTTGTTGCTCACGCAACATATTCTGCATAACCAAAGTGTGCTGGTTGTTCATTTGTTGAACACAAGACCACCAATCAGTTGGTGGTTGTGGGATTTCCTCGGCATTTGGCACAATAGGTGGTGGAACGGATTCTCCCACTGGTGCCGAAGATGATTGAGGTTGTGAACCTGCCATATGGACCCTTCCGATGATACGGCCGGATCTAAGACGTATGAAATTATCGCCGGAATTGGAATGAGCAATTTTGTCTTGCTCCCACTGTGGTCGCCAATTTGTTGATGTAATTTTTCAACAAAAATAAAGTAAAATTCAAAGATATAGAAAATATCCTTAAACTTGATTAATTAGTGCCTGAGATTAGGAATCTCTAAACACTGTATGGTACAGAAAATAAACTGGAAAATAAAATACTGAAATTTAAAGTGGTGATCCCCAAATCTGACTTTGCTTTGTTGAAGTTGATTGAAGATGCCTTGCCAAATGATGATCCAAACCCTTAAATATTCTCTGGGGAACTGTACTGAAAACCGTCACCCGAACGGTTACAACGTCTCCTTCCCAACCGTCTTCCAACCCTTCTCCTGCTGACACGTATCCTCAGCAAACTGAAATTATCCCTATATTTCACTCTTTGAGCCAACCACAGACCTTCCGCCCTTTAGGCCCGACTGCCAATCTACAATAGTATGGGTCCGACTGCCAATCCTCCCGACTTGCAACCATCTGACTTGTTTGGATTAGCTACAGACATCCCGACTAACAAACCACCTGAATTGTTGGTCCTGCCGCAGAATTCCGACCTGAGGACTTCCCGACCTGAGGGCCTCCCGACTTGCGGACTTCCCGTCCCTGAAGGCCTCCCGTCTTGCGGACTTCCCGTTCCTGGAGGCCTCCCGACTTGCGGACTTCTCGTCCTGAGGGCCTCCCGACTTGCGGACTTCCCGTTCCTGAAGGCCTCCCGACCTGCGGACTTCCCGTCCTGAGGGCCTCCCGACTTGCGGACTTCCTGTTCCTGAAGGCCTCCCGTCTTGCGGACTTCCCGTTCCTGGAGGCCTCCCGACCTGCGGACTTCTCGTCCTGAGGGCCTCCCGACTTGCGGACTTCCCGTTCCTGAAGGCCTCCCGACTTGCGGACTTCCCGTTCCTGAAGGCCTCCCGACCTGCGGACTTCCCGTCCTGAGGGCCTCCCGACTTGCGGACTTCCCGTTCCTGAAGGCCTCCCGACCTGCGGACTTCCCGTCCTGAGGGCCTCCCGACTTGCGGACTTCCCGTTCCTGAAGGCCTCCCGACCTGCGGACTTCCCGTCCTGAGGGCCTCCCGACTTACGGACTTCCTGTTCCTGAAGGCCTCCCGTCTTGCGGACTTCCCGTTCCTGGAGGCCTCCCGACCTGCGGACTTCCCGTCCTGAGGGCCTCCCGTCCTGTATTTTCCTTAGAAATAAATCTATTTTCCTTGATTTCCTCACGGTGTCCTTCAGCCAGTTCAATCAACTCTATTGCCAGGCCCATTCTTCTTTTTGCCTTGGGCTTTTAACCTAATTCTGAATTTCGTACGTAACACACTTATTGCTTCAGATCCTGTGCGTTACGAAGATGCAGCCAAAAATGAGGAATGACATAAAACAATGCAAGAGGAACTTATGGCGATTAACATAAATGAAACATGGGAGTTAGCAAGCTTACCTCATGAAAAAAATGTAGTGGGCTTAAAATGGATTTTCAAAACAAATTATCATGCATATGGTACAATTCAAAAGCACAAAGCTCGTCTAGTTGCGAAGGGATACTCTCAACAATAAGGGGTCGACTATGATGAAACATTCTCCCCGGTTGCAAGATTTGAAACTGTCATAACTTTCTCGAGCATAGCAGCGCAACTACAATGGCCGATATATCAATTTGATGTAAAATCAACATTTCTAAATAGGGAACTGAAAGCAGAAGTGTACGTTGTCCAGCCCTAAGGCTTTGTGGTAAAAGAGGAAAAAGATAAAGTATAGAAACTCAAAAAGACACTTCATGGATTAAAACAGGCCCCGCGAGCATAGTATGAGAAGATTGATGCGTATTTCTTGATGAATGAATTTGTGAGAAGTCAAAACGAGCCTACACTATATGTCAAAAAGGGAGGTAACAATGACTTGCTTTTTGTTTGCATATACGTTGATGATATCATATATATGAGCTCAACTTCATCCATTGTGGCTGACTTCAAATCAAGTATGATGAATAAATTCGAGATGACAGATTTGGGCATATTGCATTACTTTCTTGGTATTGAAGTATGTCAAGATGGAATATTTATTTCCCAAAAAAAATATGCCACAGACCTTTTAAGAGGGTCTGACATGCTAAATTGCAAGGCAGCCTCTACGCCTATGGATGTGAATGAAAGGTTGCAAGTTGAAGATCGTACAGAGAAGACTGATGGAAGAAGGTTCAGAAGTATTGTAGGAGGCTTGATATATTTAACTCGTACAAGACCCGATATTTCATTTGTTGTTGGCGTGGTTTCAAGATTTATGAGCGATCCTTCAAAACAACATTTTGGAGTTGCAAAGAGGATCCTGCGTTATATTGCTGGAACTTTATCCTTTGGAATTTGGTATACTAAGGTTTTGGATTCTACGTTAACTGGGGTTTCCGGCAGAGATTGGGCAAGCTTAGTAGAAGATAGGCGCAACACATCTGGAAACGTCTTCAGCCTTGGATCAGGAGCTATAACTTGGTGTTCTAAAAGACAGCCCACCGTTGCATTATCAACCACTGAAGCTGAGTTGCGGCAATGTTTTCAGCTTGTTAATGTGTTTGGTTAAGGAGGTTGCTTGCAGATTTTCAGCAGAAGCAATTTGGAGCGACATAAACTTTTTGTGATAATAAAGCTACTATTGCGTTAACAAGAAATCCTGCATTCCATGGAAGGACCAAGCATATCGACATACGTTTCCATTCTATTCGTGAGCTCGTAGCCAAGGAAGAGATTGCATTAAAGTATTGCAGCACTGAAGAGTAGGTGACCGACGTATTAACCAAGACGTTTCCAGTAAAGAAACATGTTTATTTTTATTATTGATGGGGGTATGCAAATTTGAATAAAGGGAAAATGTTGAAAAGTAATTCAATTTGTTAGAATTAAATTATTAATTATGCAGTTTATTTATTTGAATATTTGAATATGTAAGTTATGGGTAGTTATTTCATGGACAACGTTTGGATAAGTTGGTAGAAGTTGTATGCTTATATATGGCGAATACCAGTGTCATGTAAATATATATATCATTCAATCGCATTACTTTATATTATCTCTTTATCCAAATTACACAAATTTCTCAATCCTTTAATCATATTTTAAAATTTATAATTTTAATTAAATTAATTAGTTATTTTAATTTTAATATTGTTGATGTATTTTTTCAACAAAAATAAAGTAAAATTCAAAGATATAGAAAATATCCTTAAACTTGATTAATTAGTGCCTGAGATTAGGAATCTCTAAACACTGTAACGTACAGAAACTAAACTGGAAAATAAAATACTGAAATTTAAAGTGGTGATCCCCAAATCTGACTTTGCTTTGTTGAAGTTGATTGAAGATCTCTTGCCAGATGATGATTCAAACCTTTAAATATTCTCTGGGAAACCGTACTGAAAACCGTCACCCGAACGGTTACAACGTCTCCTTCCCAACCGTCTTCCAACCCTTTTCATGCTGACACGTGTCCTCAGCAGACCAAAATTATCCTTATATTTCACTCTTTGAACCGACCACAGACCTTCCGCTCTTTTGGCCCGACTTCGTCCTTCGCCCGACCTGCTTCTTCGCCCGACCTCGCTTGGGCCGACCTCCGCATCAGCCGCCCTCCGTCTTCGACCGAAGACCTCCGCATCTGTCCGTACCTCTTCCTTGCCCGACCTTCCTCTTAACAGACCTCCGCGTCTGCCCGACTTCGGTCTGGATTTGGATCAATTCTTGAGATCTTAACTTTCTTCCTTTTCCCGACCTGAAAGCCTCCCGACCTGCGGACTTCCCGTCCTGATGACTTTCCGTCTTGAGGACCTACCGACCTGAAGACCTTCCGTCCTGATGACTTTCCGTCTTGAGGACCTCCCGACCTGAAGACCTTCCGACCTGAGGTCTTTCCGTCTTGAGGACCTCCCGACCTGAAGACCTTCCGACCTGAGGTCTTTTCATCTTGAGGACCTCCCGACCTGAAGACCTTCCGACTTGAGGTCTTTCCGTCTTGAGGACCTACCGACCTGAGATCCTTCCGACCTGAGGTCTTTCCGCCCTGAGGACCTTCCGTCTTGAGGACCTTCCGTCTTGAGGACCTTCCGTCTTGAGGACCTCCCGTCTTGAGGACCTTCCGTCTTGAGGACCTTCCGTCTTGAGGACCTACCGACCTGAGGACCTACCGACCTGAGGACCTTCCGTCTTGTATTTTCCTTAGAAATAAATCTATTTTCCTTGATTTCCTCACAGTGTCCTTCAGCCAGTTCAATCAACCCTATTGCCAGGCCCATTCTTCTTTTTAACTTGGGCTTTTAACCTAATTCTAAATTTCGTACGTAACAACTTGCCCGCCGCCAAGGGACTTTCAAACGCCATTTAACAATCAATGTTTGGAAGTTCATAAATCACTACCTTCTTGAAACATTCCCTTAGCAACTGCACCAGTTACTGCAATACTCCTGGTTAACTTCCTTCTCCGCAATACAAGCCTTTGTGAATCACAATCCCAAAACACTCTAACTATGGCAAATCAATACATTCCTGCCCTTCCTTTCGACGGAACCCTCCCGGAGGGCCCATTTTCAGCCTCGAAAGTACTAACTCCGACGATCCGTCCATACTGCACTACTCCTGAAGACTCAAATCGGATGAGGGAAGTTTTGGAATCCCGAAATTCCTTGGCTATCAACAATCCTAACTACCAAGCAATTCGCATTCGAGACAGCATCAAAACCCATCTCACAGACCCAAAAGATCCTTACCGCGCTTGGTATCGACGGGTAGCAGAACACTTCCAGGCCCAATGGCGATCTCAAAAAATCGACCAAGCCATACTACTGTCCACCATGCCTATCAACCTGCATGAGAAGGTGCTGTTGGCCATGTCTGCCTTCTGGAATGCGGAAAATGGGACTTTCCTCCTACCATCTGGCCCCTTTGGTCCAACTCTTATGGACGTGGCAATGATCGCGCATCTCCCAGTCGTGGGTGAAGACCCTGTAATGGGAGCCCTAGATGGGCAGGAGCCATCAGAAGACCATCCAGGGTGGTCTTTACAAGGTGTGAAGGAATGGGGTTGGACAAAGTTCGCAACCGACCAGCAAGGGGCTCCAGGGACCCCTGTGACTGACCGGGAGCATACTGCCTTTATCCTTTTTTGGCTTTGTAGGTACGTCATTGTTTCCCCTTCCAAATGTGTTCTTCCTTCTCATCTCGACCTGGCCATTCATATCGCGTCAGGTCGGTTCTTTTCCCTTGGCACCCTGTTTTTAGCCAATCTGTTTGAAGGACTTACTAGGGTTAGCCTTCGTCTGACAGATAATGATAGTAGAAAATTAGACACTGCCGCATCGGGTCCTTTTTGGTTTTTAGAACTTTGGTTCCGTCTTTACTTCCCCAACGCGTTTAACTTAGGATCTCCGCCCACTATGCCAACAACTGAAAAACATTTGGGATTAGCCCTTAACCGACTCTGCACAGGACGCAATAAACTCCAATCTTCCGATCCAATAATAATCGCAGTTTTAACAGATACCCGCAATAACTCTCGATTTTCTATGTATAAAAAGTATGCGGGCTATGCTCCCGACCATTTTTGGCCTTTTCCAGTACCAAATCCGCTTCCGACTCCTGAGCCTTGTCCTCATTCCACTTATCCTTTTGCCTGGGACGTTGCCCTCAAACCCAGGTCTCTTTTTAGTAGCAAAAAACTTGATAAAAAGGGGCAGAAAACCTTTTACACTTTTAATTATGAACCTCAATTCGTGGCGCGCCAGTTCGGCTGTTGCCAAGGTATCCCTGGACCCGTCGCGTGTCCACATATAATTTTTCAAAGCCCTGACCGACGAGTCCTACCGAATTCAATCCCTTCTTATATCTCCCAGCTCACCACGTATATAACTTCCAATTCTTATATTCCTTTCCGCTCCAACCCTGAGACTGTAGAAACATTCAATGAATGGTGGTCGGTTGTATGGCCCCTGATCTCCCCTGATGAGGGTCGGTTGCTGAACATACTCCTTCCCCCCCAAGGATTGGTTCTAGGGGCGGCTAGACATACTAGCACTCAACAACAAACAGCCGCCCCGGGGATCGGGTCTAGTGCTCCAACGCGAAAAAGGAAAGCGTCCCAGCTGCCAACACCCCCGACCTCGGGGACCAGCAAACACTAGCAGACCTTGGAACAAATAGGACGTCAGCAAGGGCCCGACCCCGAATTGGTAATGTTTCTTAACACCGTGAACCAATTCACTATATCTTAACTTTGATTTCACATATTATTCACCAGAACCGACCTTGGCAGCACCGACCACACAACCGACGCCAGCCCCAGCCGACCATTCAACCGGGCCTTTGGTCCAGACCAATCTGCCAATGAGCAGTCGGGCGGAGGACCCGACGAGGAGGCAAACTCTTCCTCCTGCACCGAGGAGCGGTCGGGCCAGGCACCCGACCAGGAGGCAATCTTTACCAGTAGTGCCTAGAGAACCAGTAAGTTCGCTCATCAGCCATACTTAAAATTCTAATGATCAACCCTGATATATTTAACAACCAACATTTCCATGATTTTTTCACAGACACCTTCACCCATCGGATCAGCAGCAGGGGTCTCTTCTGACAGCGAGGGAACTACTTCCCAGATGGGTCGACCGCCATACATAGCATCAGACTCATCCATGTCAAAAGAAAGACCAACTGCCCTCGCCGAAGCTGACCCTCAAAACGACATCCTTGATGTTGCTGATCCCGAAATCGAAGGTGCCCCAGAGATTCTGGCTGCAGTGGCTCTAGAAGCAGCCGCCCAACCTGCAGCCGCCCAGCCAGCAGCGGCACTTCCTCTAGCAATCGAGTGGCAGGCAGAAGAACCACCTGTGGCAGCCCAACCTCCAGAAATGGAAGAAGTGTCTTCATCCGATTCGGAGACTTCTGTGAATTTGGTAAGATTAAACCAATCCATGCCACAATATCCCTTTCAGAAAACACTAACTATTTTACATACTACTTTCAATAGGGACCCAGGTCGGCACCTCAGCGACCATTTGCAGCAGCCGACGAGTCGGCTGCTGTTATACCAGCTGCCCGCCCTACTCAACCGACCTCATTGCTGCCCCCCTCACTGACAGCAGTCCGCCCAGAGGTAAAACATATCTTATAAGAATAAATTTGCACCTCTCTTGGAATACTTATTGACATTGTAGGACTTGCAGGGGCCTTCAGACTTAGCTGTCCTATCGACTGTTCCGGTTCCGGCGGAGGCCCGAACCATATTCACTGAGGCCATTAACCATCCCCTGTCAGAATTGAGATCCGACTTATTGGACAAACTCATTCAGACGGTTGGTGGCCTTCTATTTTACACTCCAACGGAATCGCCAGCCGTCCCTATTCTGCATCGGCTGATGGAAAGACTTACAGAGCTCAAGACTGAAGTGTTAGTCATTGGACTCCTGTCAGCCGAAACCCCCCAGCCCGACTTCGATCAAACAACGCTGGAGAATTCTTTGGCTAAGACTCGAGAATCCCTTCAGCAGACTACCGGAAGGCTGGGTGGTCTCCTTAGCACAAAAGCTCTAGTTGATGATGCCA